CCTTGCTTTTGGCTTTAGCATTGGTCTTCACTGTTACTGAGACATTTGTCTTTTGTGACTATTATTCTGGGACAGGCCCTTACTCACCTCCTCATTTCTTGCTCAGTTTCAGGCAGTACATCCAGCAACCCAGCAACCAGCAATTGCTCAGTTCCCTGTGGTGTCCCAAGGAGGCTCTCAACAGCAGCTAATGCAGAATTTCTACCAGCAGCAGCAGCAGCAGCAACAACAACAACAGCAACAGCAGCAGCAGCTGGCCACAGCCCTGCATCAACAACAGCTGATGACTCAGCAAGCTGCCTTGCAGCAAAAGCCCACTGTGGCAGCAGGACAGCAGCCTCAAGCACAGCCAGCTGCTGCCCCACAGCCAGCCCCTGCCCAGGAGCCAGCGGTAAGAATCAGCCAGAGCTCAGAGCACAAAAGCAGGAGAGGAGTGTGCAGTGAGAGCTAGGGAAAGGGTGGGAAAGATGGCAGCAGCTGATGAGGGGCTAGGTCGCTTTCCCACCCTGGTGGTTCAAATATTTGAACTTTCCTTGATATATCCAAGAATAGTATGAGATGTTCTGTAGAAGATAGAGGTTTTTTTAAAAAATGATTCTAGGCTACTGATGAAGAACCTTCTTAATTTTTATCACTCTGAAACTAGGCTAGCAGGAAGGTCTGTTCATCATCTCTGTTAGTGTCACTTTGAACAGTCAAGGACCTAGGTAGGATTAGAGCTAATTCCTTTCCCTTCCTCAAGGGGCAGTTTGATCCATTATGCCCTTTCCAGGCTCTGGAAATTGTGTGGCCCCACCTTTGCCTTGAGTCCTACATGCTGTGTTTATTCTTTGTTTTAGATGACGTTACTCACCACATTATTTAAGTTTACCTTGCAGCTCCTGTCAAGTACCTGCTTACCTGGGACCATTTACCCTGGTGTAATCCTCCTGGGTACTAGAGCATCTGAGTATCCAGTCATTTGAGCAATCTTGTCAATTTAGAAATTGGGCATGTCCACTTTTAGATATGGGCTGAGTATGGCATCAGAACCCCTCTTCTAATTGTCCTCTACAGTTTCAGCACACACGGGCATATCATGCTTTGGCCTTTAATAAGTGGCTTTTTTTCTGTGCTCATATTTTTTTGAGTGATAGTGATAGAAAATTTTATGGTATTAGAAAAAGACATTTTGCATAGCCAGCTGATAGAGTGTCACAGCTACCCTCTTACTCCCAGGGAAGTCCAACTACTAGACAAGCAAAGAAAAAGTAAGAAACTGCCTTTCTGAGAATTGATTTCTAATAGAGTTTTGTCTCCCATGTTAAACCAGAAAACCTACATCCCTTTGAAAGTAAGCAGTGTCGTAAATAGATTGTCTTCTTTAAGTCTCAGCTAAGTGTGTGTTTAGTGTCTTTACACCTTTGTTTCTAAAACAACTCAGACTTCCTGCAGGCATGGATTAGACAGTGAGTCTCTGTATTTTTAACAGGAGATAAAGTTCCTCTTGTTCGTGGAAAAAGAGTTTTTAAAAAAATTAGCACACAATGTAGCTAGAAGGGACCTTAATTATCCAGTTGAATCTTCTCATTTTATGGAATTGGAAACTGAGGCACAGACTAGAAAATGATTGCCCAAGACATACAGACTGATCGTAGTAGAGCTGGGGCAAGAATCAAAGAATCCTGATCTGTGTTTAAGTTTGATTATAACAAATGCTCATCCAGGGTGATGAAATGATCAACTGCTACTGACTACACTTCTTATGAGAGTCCCCTATGCTTTTCCTAGACAAAAGTGTCCACTGTCTTGGGAATGAATTATGAACCTTCTCCATGTTCTCTGGATGAAAAAATACTTTGAACACTTTGCTCTGGGATAGGTGGTTTTGGGGACAGAGAGGAAACAGAAGTAAACTGTGCTTTGGCCAGGAGCCATAGAGCTTCTCAGCTTTGACCCATCCCTGTCTCCACTGACTCTTGGCAGGGCTAATCTAGAGAAGCAAGTGAGTGGAGGTAAAGCATACCCTGTAGCCATCATAAAGCAGTAATTGGCAAAGAGAAAATGACCATATACCCTAGAAGTTTATTGCAGTCTTATTAATAATGGCCCAAAGAATGCAAGCAACCTAAATTGCTGAGGAACCCAACTGTGCAGCCATTAAAGCGCTTGGTTATAAAGTCTGTACAACAGTATGAAAAGAAATGCTCATGAGGTAATGTTAAAAGAATGGTGAAATTATGGAAAAACTATGTACTTGAAAAGAGACTTAAAATATAAGACACCAAAAATATAAGAATTGTATCTAGTCGTATTAGAGTGGTGGAATAGAAGCCTCTTTTCTGTATTCTTACATTTCATGATGTGATTATACTCCTTTTATAATTACATATTTTATTTTATTTTTAAATCTTCAGCAAGATAGACATCTGAGTTTTTTATTCCTTCTCCTGTGGTCTGTCTCCCCCTCCTCCCCATTTCCAGTCCTGTGTGGATGGGATGGCATCATGGTGCAGAAAGAGTCCTGAGCCCCAGTCAGGAGACACGGGCTCTGCTTCCAATTAACCCTGTGAGCTTGAATGAGCACTTGGCTTCAGTGGGCTGTGGTCTCACCTCTAAAGTACAGGAGTTGAAATCTGTGTTTTTTAAGACCCTTTCAGCTCTCACATTCTTTGATTCTAAGTGGAAGTAAAACTGTCTGCCAGAACCCTGGGAGGTGTAGCTAAACAGGTACAAACCGCTTAGTGTCTGTAGATTGCTGTTATAGGGCAAGGTCCTGAAGGAGGCATCTGGTCTTCAGTGTGCTGCATTTGGAGAACAGGAGAGAAAAACGTTCTCCAAGTGGTAAGAACACCTTAGTTCAACCATTGTGGAAAGCAGAGCTCTCTGCAATTCTTCACAGAACTAAAAACAGAACTACTATTCAACCCAGCAAACCTATTACTGGGTATATACTCAGAGGAGTATAAATTGTTCTGCCATAAAGACACATGCATGTGTATGTTTATTGCAGCGCTGTGCATAATAGCAAAAACATGGGATCAATCTAAAATCCTATCAGTGGCAGACTGGATGAAGAAAATGTGGTACATATATACACCATGGAATATTATGCAGCCATAAAAAAGAAGGAGGATGGAGCCTTTGCAAGAACATAGATGGAGCTAGAGGCCATTATCCTTAGCAAACTAATGCAGGAACAGAAAACCGAATAGCACATGTTCTCACTTACAAGTAGGAGCTAAATGATGAGAACTCATGGGCGCAAAGAGGGAAACTACAGACGCTGGGACCTACTTGAAGGTGGAGGGTGGGAGGAGGGAGATAATCAGAAAAAATAACTCTTGTGTACTAGGCTTAGTACCTTGGTGACAAAATAATCTGTATAACGAACCCCTGTGACACGAGTTTACCTGTTTACCTCTATAACAAAACTGCATGTGTACCCCTAAAATAGAAGTTTAGGCAAACAAAAAAGCAGTAACATTTATTAATCACAGTTGAATTCTATCTGACTCATTCCCAACATGCGGTCTTGCTACAAGGCAGAGAGTGAGGGATCTCTTAGCAGAAATTATTCAGCTTAAATGTGTTTCAGCTGGAGGTATGTCTTCATTGGCCTCTGTGGTGATAGGATCTATTGCCTGCCCTTTGGAAGCATTCTGATTGGGTTTGTATGTGTCTCCAGAAATAGAAAGTGGTCCTTTATGATAAATTCCAGATCTTTACAGCTAGGAATAGTTTCTGCATTCTTATGCTCTGGGCTGATTATGGTTAACATATGGTTACCCTGTATATTATTGCTGATGAAGATTGAAATTTATGTGTATCAGACAAATACCAAGTTGTAATTGGTCTTAAAGTTGCAGCACCAATTGTCAAAGCCTGGATTTTTCTTTCTGGGTGTTAGTTAAACTTAGCCATTTGAGTCCCTTGTTAGCGCTCATGTGGCATTTTTTGTTGTTGTTGTTAACACTTATCATTTGTTTTCCCTTTAACTTTTTTTTTTAATTTAATGAAATATTTTCCATCTCTCTTCCTAGCAGATTCAAGCCCCAGTAAGACAACAGCCAAAGGTTCAGACAACCCCACCTCCTGCCGTCCAGGGGCAGAAAGCTGGATCTCTCACTCCTCCCTCATCCCCCAAAACCCAACGTGCTGGGCACAGGCGTATTCTCAGTGACGTAACCCACAGCGCAGTCTTTGGGGTCCCTGCCAGCAAATCAACCCAGCTGCTCCAGGCAGCTGCAGCTGAGGCCAGTCTCAATAAGTCCAAGTATGTGGTGCTTCCTCTTTGTTGTTCTTAACTCTGTGGGCAAGTTCTGCCTGTGGCTGTTAGTGTGTGATTCTTTGCATAAGTGTGCAGATGTGTGTAATACAAATACAGTGGTGTGTACCTGTGTTCATTTATTTTTCTGAGTGGCTTGTTTCATCTTGCATGTACTTGTGTTTAATGAGCAACTATGAATTTGTCTTTAGTGCATGGGCCACACTAATCTTAAGAAATCTTTTCCTACTTGGCCCACTGTTTTCATTCTCTCACTCGTTCCATGCTCTACAGTGTCTTTTCTAAACTCTCGATCTGACCGAGTCTCTTCAGGCTGAAACTCTTTCATTGGCTCCTCAACACCTGTCAGATGATAGCTGAGCACACTGCTTAACACAGCAGGGCCCGTTGTGTCCCACGGGCCGACTTGCCACTCCTTACCTTCTGAAGCCCTTTGTTCCTCCTGTGCCCTCTCCTGGGACTGCTGCACTCCTCCTTGCCCACCTAGGGAATGTTCATTTATTCATCAAGATCCATGTCAGAGGTTGACTTTTCTTTGACACTTCCTCTGATGTATAATTTTTATCCTTTTTTTTTGCACTTGTATGACACTGTATTATCATTAATTATTTGTATGTCTGACTGAACTAGTTTGTGAGCTCTCCAAGACAATGACCATGTCTTAGTGAACCTTTGGAAACCAGTGACTGACTCTGTGCCTGACAAGTAGATTTTGATGAGTGTTGAGTAGATGCAGTTTCAGACCCTTAGCTATATTGGAACCATGCACTCTAAAGTTAAAATCTTTCAATTAAGTTCAGAGAGACTTTATAAGAAAATGATGTAATGATACTTAAATGCACAAAGTAGTGGTAACTGTCTTTATTTCTTTTTAATTGTGAGGTGGTCCTTAACTCTATGCATACTGGATCCTGAAAGATGGGATACAGCCTAAATAGAGCTCTTTCCTGCCCCTCCAGGGGTCAGTTATTGTAGATGTTATGGTGGTTACCACAGGATACACAAGTCTAAGAACAGGTTGTTTTTAGATCCTGAACTGAAACAACTTGCAGATAAGACTAAAAACCTAAGCAAGAGATTAAAGAAGTAGTGGGAGGTAGTGAGTCATGAAGGAAAGGAGACGTTCATTTCACAAAGTGGGAAGGATATCTGTGGAAATTGTTCAGGTGCTGTGGAAAGCCCTTTTAGGAAAACACTGTGGGCTGGAAGCAGTGGCTCACGCCTGTAAACCTAGCACTTTGGGAGGCCAAGAAGGGTGGATCACCTGAGGTCAGGAGTTCGAGACTAGCCTGGCCAACATGGTGAAACCCTGTCTCTACTAAAAATACAAAAATTAGCCAGGCGTGGTGGCAGGCACCTATAATCCCAGCTACTCAGGAGGCTGAGGCAGGAGAATCGCTTGAATCCTGGGGGCAGAGGTTGCAGTGAGCCAAGGTTGTGCCACTGCACTCCAACCTGGGTGAAAGACTGCAACTCCCTCTCAAAAAAAAAAACAACAAAACACTGTGGTAGAAAACGATGGTTTGACTCAGAAAAGAATTTGATCCTGAAACAAAGAGAAAATAATTTTACCCTTTTTGTTTTGTTCAACTTTTATATCTGTTTGTTTCGTGGGGATGGGAACCTACCTAGGTCTGCAACCACCACTCCATCAGGCTCTCCTCGGACCTCTCAGCAAAATGTTTATAATCCTTCAGAAGGGTCTACGTGGAATCCCTTCGATGACGACAATTTCTCCAAACTCACAGCTGAAGAACTACTCAACAAGGACTTTGCCAAGCTGGGGGAAGGTGAGTAAGCTGTGTCTTTTTTGGTGCTTCTTGTTTGTAGATTCTCTGCTAAGAAATAACCAGGAGTGAGAAAGAATTGTAACTCTAGAAGGGTGTGCAAGTGAAAACATAGGCTTGGGCCTTTCCATAAGGCTTGATTTCAAAGTATGCATACAAATTGGTTTTTATTTTCACCATGGCCCTGAAGTCTTCATCTTTAGGAAATCCTGATCTGTTGTGGGTGGTAGCAAAGAAGAGTGTGAGGCTTAGGGAAGAAACTTAAAGGTTTGATGGCGTAGATCAGGATAACAGCATTGTGCATGGTCACTCCTTGGAGGAGTGTTCCCTCATCCTAGGTTGGTTTACTGTCCCAGAAAGTTGTCACTGCTTGTCCATGAATGTGCCCTTACATGGACACTGAATCTTTCTTTCACTATGATCAGCATTCTGTATTACTGTTGACTGACCACAGAAAGATGATTAAATAAATAGAAGATACACTTCTGCCTGGAAAACGGTCTACTTTGGAAAGCAGGACACACACACACAGGCACATGCACACACTTTGAAACAAATTCTGGTATGCATAATTCTAATAATATTAGAGAGTACTCTAATAAAAAGAATACTCTCAATGTAGGTAAGAGTGCAGGATAAAGGAACGATGAGAACCAATTGTGTGGTATGAACTATTGGCCAAATATTTTGGTTTAAACTATTATTTTATAGAAATCTTTTAAAACTCCAAGGCCAGGTGTGGTGTCTCATGCCTGTAACCCAGTACTTTGGGAGGCTGAGGCAGGAGAAACGCTTGAGCCCAGGAGTTCAAGACCAGCCTGGGCAACATGCCAAGATCCTATCTCTACAAAAAATTTTTAAAAAGTTAGCTGGGCATCTTGGCACACACCTGTAGTCCCAGCTTCTTGAGAGGCTGAGGTGAAAGGATCACTTGAGCCCAGGAGGTCGAGGCTACAGTAGACTATGAATTCATGACTGTTTTCCAGCCTGGGTAACAGAGTGAGACTCTGTCTCTTAAATTAAAAAAAAAAAAAAAAAAAGATTCCTATTACTTCTTGCCTTTTTAAACAGAAGATAGGGCATAATACACAACTTTCTTTGACAACATCTCATTATTGCCACCTCTGCCACTCCCTCTTCTCATTTGCTCTCCTAAACTGCTTCCAACATGGAAAGCAGATCGTCAAATTCATTAGAGCCATATAAAGTAAATACATTACAAGTGTGGGCTGGAGGCATTAAATGTACAGTTCCGTAGTGTTAAGTACATTCACACTGTTGTGCAACCAACCAATCTCCAGAACCTTTTTCATCTTGCAAAACTGATGATATGCTCTTTTGATTCTTAACAATTTCCTTTTTTTTTTTTTTTCTCAGCTGTTCTCTCAGTTATTGCAATGACTAGACAAGGATCTCTAAATAGCCAGCGTGTCACCATAATGCAATTAAAGTAGTTAAGTCGAGAAGTCAGTTCAGAGTGTACCCCTCACCTCTTCCATGGGTGTGTGCCTCACAAGATTTTGCTAGAAGGAACTGAGTGGTGTTTTGTCTCTCCAGGCAAGCATCCCGAGAAGCTTGGAGGCTCAGCTGAGAGTTTGATCCCAGGCTTTCAGTCAACCCAAGGTGATGCTTTTGCTACGACCTCATTTTCTGCTGGAACTGGTTAGTATGGCAAATACCTGGAACACGAGGTTCACTGTTGTTACCTTCACATTGTTTTTCACTCCACAGATAACTCTAGCATGCCAGTGAAACCCAAATCCTGGCAGTAACATGTGTATATATATATTTTTTTATTTTTTATTTTTTTATGGTCAATATTTAATATATAACTTTTTAAAATTCAAGATCTTTCTGATCAAAAAGGGATAAAGATTTAGAACCACTTTGAATTCATGTGGCAGGACAATCTGGCAGTGATATACAGGACTTGTTCTTTCTAGGCCACAGGCATGCCTTAAGCAAATATGTATAGATTTGAGGAACACCAGTCTGTTTATTGCTTGTCATTTCTTAGGTTTCTGGGAAATTAAAAATTCTTCAAGAATTTTTAAAATTAAATGTTCTGTTATATCTAACACTCCTCTAAACTGTGTTTGTGTGTGTATATATTTTATTATATAAAAGTTAGTAATTTATAGAGAAGAAAGTTAAAATTCTTCATGATCTCACCACCAAGAGATAGCCCAGGGATACCATCTTGATGTGTGTTAGCGGCACTTAATCTTTTGAGTATCTTTGTGAATCTAATGAAAGTTATAAGTCTCTCTGACCAAAATGCACATGACCACAATTTTTTATTTTTTATTTTTTGAGACAGAGTCTCACTCTGTCACCCAGGCTGGAGTGGAATGGCAGAATCTTGGCTCATTGCAGTCTCCACCTCCCAGGTTCAAGTGATTCTCCTGCCTCAGCCTCCTGAGTAGCTGGGATTACAGGCACCTGCCATCATTCCCGGCTAATTTTTGTATGTTTGTAGAGACGGGATTTCACCCATGTTGGCCAGGCTGGTCATGAACTCCTAACATCAGGTGATCTGCCTGCCTCGTCCTCCCAAAGTGCTGGGATTGCAGGCGTGAGCCACTGCACCCAGCCACATGACCACAATTTTGTACACTCTTTGACCCACTTCTTGAGACTCTGATATGCATCTTTTTTTTCTTTCTTTTTGAAATGGAGTCTTGCTCTGTCGCCAGGCTGGAGTGCAGTGGCACAATCTTGGCTCACTGTAACCTTTACCTCCCAGGTTCAAGTGATCCTCATGCCTCAGCCTCCCAAGTAGCTGGGATTGCAGGCATACGCTACCACACCTGGCTAATTTTTGTATGTTTAGTAGAGATGGATTTTCACCATGTTGGCCAGGCTGGTCTTGAACTCCTGACTTCAGGTGATCTGCCTGCCTTGGCCTCCCAAAGTGCTGGAATTACAGATGTGAGCCACCGCGCCCAACCTGATATTCATGTTTATAGTCATATTGAAGCCTAATTTTTCCACTTAATGAACGTGGCACATTTCTCCTTCATCATTAAAGAAGCTCCTAAAATATAATTTTTTTTTAAGTACCTGCATTAAATTCCATCATATGGCCAGGCGCAGTGGCTCACACCTGTAGTCCCAGCACTTTGGGAGGCCAAGGCAGGCAGATCACTTGAGGTCAGGAGTTTAAGACAAGCCTGGCCAACATGGTGAAACCTCATCTCTACCAAAAAATTAGCCAGGTGTGGTAGCACACGCCTGTAGTCCCAGCTACTCAAGTAGCTGAGATGGGAGGTTCCCTTGAACCCGCGGGGCAGAGGTTGCAGTGTGCTGGACTCTAGCCTGGGCAACAGAATGAGATCCTGTCTCAAAAAAAAAAAAAAAAAACTTCTAGGATACACTAGATGTGTGATATATCCTAGTATATTTAACCAATTGCACCTTATTTCAGTATTTACTGTTATAAATACCTCAGCAATGAATGTGAGCTTTTGAAAATATTCTTTGTAAGATACAGAATTTGGCATGCTTCTAAAAGTGATCTTTTTAATTATACTGATTAATATCTATTTTTAACCTTATCATATATTCTTTCTGCCTGCTTTCTTTAGGTACGTTAGTAGCTTTTCTAACCTCATAAATTTATTTCTGAATAGAACTTTATTATTTAAATAATATTTGATATGTAGTGCTCTCTTATTTTCTGGATATTTTTAAATAGAAGTTTCAATTTCTTCTTTAACCAAAAGTTACTTAGGTTATGTTTTCATTGCACTATGACCAGTATTGTCTGTCCAGTCTTTGCTGTAAACTGTACTGAAAGGCTTTCTGTGGCCCAGTTTGTTGTTCATTTTATAAATGTCCTCTGGAAATTAGCAGTTTCCATGTCAATAAATATTCATCTACAACATGATTGTTCATGGAAGAATAGTAACATTTATTTAATATCCCCTTTTGTGAATATTTACATTGTTATCAATTTTTTACCATATAAATATTCTTGAAGCTAAATTTTTGTTTATATCCTTTACAGTTTCTTTAAGATAACTTCTAAGAGACTATGTGCTAAATCAAAAGTATGTATATTTTAAGGTTTTTGATACACATTTTCAAATTGTACTCCAAGAAAGCTATATATATTTTATTTCAATTGATAGTGAATGAGAGAGTCATTTTCCCTACCATTTCTTCACCCGACCCAGCACAGCCCAGCCCAAAGATTATAGACAGAGAACATTATGTACTTATTTATTTTTTTGAGATGGAGTTTCGCTGTTATTGCCCAGGCTGGAGTACAATGGCACAATCTTGGCTCACCACAACCTCTGCCTCCCGGGTTCCAGCAATTCTCCTGCCTCAGCCTCCCAAGTAGTTGGGATTACAGGCATGTGCCACCACGCCCGGCTAATTTTGTATTTTTAATATAAATGGGATTTCTCCATGTTGGTCAGGCTGGTCTTGTATCTTCCAACCTGAGGTGGTCCGCCCACCTTGGCCTCCCAAAGTGCTGGGATTATAGGCATGAGTCACCATGCCTGGCTAGAGAACCTTATTTACTGACCCATTTTTATTTGTTTGAGATTTGTATTGTTTGTGTCCTTTGCCTTTTAGATTCATTTGTAAGTGTTCTTCATATGTGACTTTTCCTAGAAAATCATCTGCAGTTTTAAAGTTTTTCATTAAAGTACAATATGTATATACCTTTTATACTAGTTTGTCTGTATACATTAATTTTAATTGTATGTATTTGTGTTTCCCTTTTTCTTGGTAACTAGATAGAGGTTGGATGTTTTATTCTATTTTCAGAGACAACACTTAGGTTTATAAAATCTTCTGTTTTCTGTCTATAACTTTTGCTTTTATCTTTATTACATTTTCTTGTTTGTTTGTTGGGGGAGGTTTGAGATTGTGTCTCGCTCTGTCACCCAGGCTGGAGTGCAGTGGTGGGATCTCGGCTCACTGCAGCCCCCACCTCCCAGGTTCAAGTGATTCTTCTGCCTCAGCCTCCCTAGTAGCTGGGATTACAGGCGGGTGCCACCATGCCAGCTAATTTTTTGCATTTTTAGTAGAGACGGGGTTTCACCATGTTAATCAGGCTGGCCTCGAACTCCTGATCTCAGATGATCCACCGCCTCGGCCTCCCAAACTGCTGGTATCACAGGCGTGAGCCACCGTGCCCAGCCATTTTCTTGTTTTACTTAGATTTGCTTTGGTCATATTAAGAGGAACAAATAGTAAAATATTTTAAAATTCTTTTTTAAAAAATAAAGTACTTGGGCTGTGTTTCTTCACAATTTGACAGTCATTTTCAACCAGCACAAAAGGGGTGAGACTAATTATAATCTTCAGGGAGGCTTTGGCATGTGAAAATATTCCAATGTCCTCTTTTCTCTTTCTCCAGTTGCCTTGCTTTAGCCTTTGAAGATTACACTGTTTATTGAGAATGCTTTCTAATAAGTGTGTATTTCCCTAGTTAAAAAAAAAAAAAATGGAGTTGTATGGAGTTTAACCATAGCTTATAAATCTTCATATGATATTCTCATTATTATTTTGGAGTTATGCTTTTCATTATTAAGTTGTAAAAAAAGTTTTGTTTCACTTTTAGCTTTGTTTGTTTAAATTTTATAAGTATGTTGATATTTTGGTGAGATTTAAAAATGTTCCGAAACCCATTCATGCTGCTTGAAGTTTGATGCGCCACATGGTTGACCAAACGTATCAAACGTGTAAAGCGTTGACTATTGTCTTTGAAGTAGAACATCAAAATGATGATTAGCCATGGACCTGGGTACGATATAGTTTGTCTGGAAAGAGGGTCACGGAATAAACTCTGAGAGTCTTATTTGCTACCAAATCCCAGAATTTGGCACAATGTTTGGCTCCATATAGATGTGTTGAACGAATAAGAAGGGTTGCTTTGTGCCAAACTTAGGACCTTGGATTTACCAGTGTTAACAACTGAGGTCTCTGATCATTTTCCATCTACTCACCCTACCATCCCCAGTTTTAATGCCTAGTTCTCATCTATTACACATGGTTATGTCTCATTGTTTGTGTGAGCTGTTTTTTAATGAGATTTATTTTGGTTTTCTTTCTGCCTTTCCACCACTTTATAAACATAAACACACATTTGAGTAAATTTATGACATTAATAAAATTAAACATATGTCAAGCACATGACGCATGTTAAACCCACTGGATAAGCGGTTTTTTTGCTCACTATCTTAAGTGATCCTCACAGAGGCCACCTGCTCAATGGCACAGCTGGAGAATGACAGAATAGAGATTTGTACCTGCAGCCCAGCTCAAAAACTAGTTATAATCATCTTTCAGAAATCTCATAAACCAGGAACACTAAGCTTTTGCAAACATTAAAAAGTGTCTTTATAGTTTTCTCAGTTTATCTGGTCGTTTTCTGTGAACACTTGGTATTTTCCCTCTCTCTTGTTTGCAGTGTAAATGTTTCTTTTCTGTGACACCTTCATTCTTTACAAATGACAGAAAAGTATGTCTAGATCCCAGGAACTAATTTGCTCTCATTTGTACAAAGTGCAGGATGGCATCATTTTCTATAAATTTTCTATCTGAACTCAGACTCTTTACAGATTTTAAACCTTATGACTGATCAAAGGAGAATTGAAGCAGGAAATTTCATAATGGGTTCGGGAGGATGGCACAGGGCTATATTAAACATTTTTATGGGAAAAGCTGCAAAAATGATGGACTGTCTCTATACATTGGAGGAAAAACGGGCAAACATTTAAAACTTCACACCATGTCTCTTTATTTTTAGATGTTTTCCTGTATATTAGTTATACATATTCATTTATTAAAATGTAGATAAATGAATAAAAGCCCAAAGTAAAGAAAATAAAATCTAACTCCACCTTGAGAGAGCATTTGCTGACATTTTAGAGTGTTTATATCTAGAATTTTATTTCTACATATAAGTTTTTTCAGACATGACTTACACCATGTATTCAATTTTGCAGTTTGCTTTTTTTTCTTTTACACAGCTTTCATTGTGTCTCATTTTAAAATATTTCAGGGATTTTAAAAGCAGTTATTTTACCCTTCTTGTCCTCCTTCTACCTTTAAAGCAACTTAGTTAAAAACCCACTTAAATAACAAAATTATAGAGACTGAAGACAGAATAGTGGTTTCCAAAGCACAGTAACAGGAATAAGGGGTGGGTGTGACTGCAGAGGAGTAGAATGAGGAGGTCTTTGGTTTCATGGAACAGCTCCGTATCATAGTTGCAGTGCTGCTCATTCTAATCTATACACAGAATCAAGTTTCAAAGAACTATACACACAGGTTGGAGGAAGTGAAGGTCCCAGAGGGAACTAGGGGCTCCAGGAGGGAGTGCTGTAAAGACTGAGAAATACGGTTTGAATGAAGAGTTGGGGGTCCTAGAAAGAGGTTGAAGGTCCAAGAAGTTGAGTGTTGGAAGGTGTGAGATTAGGATCCCAATGAGTGTTGGAAGTCCAAGGAAGGGCTGAGGGTTAGAGAGTGGGCATTCAGAGTCCAAAGAAGAAAGGTGGGGCTAGCAATGTGTCACTGGGGGCTGGAGGTGACCTCTCCTCCCATCCCCACTTCCCAGGGCAGGCCTGGAGATAAAGAGGACAGATGCTCACAGTCCCGAGAGTTCTGTGTGCTAGTCACTGAGCTGGGCCTGGTAGCAGCTGCTGGCACACTAGGGCTGACTGGCCACTGGGCAGGACATGGCTGTGGAGGTGGCAGGGAGGTGGGCAGCGAGTAGCCTCACAGTGCCTCCTAGACACCCACACCTCTGTTACCCTTCCTTCTGCTGGGTGGAGTGTCTGGGCAGGGCCACCAGGCTGCCCACTGAGGGGATGCCACTGAGCCTCCCCATTCCCTTCTGCCATATCTGGGCATTAACACCCCAGTCTGTCCCTGTTGCATTTGCCTGTTACATATCTGGTTGAGCTGTGGCTGGGAGGTTCCTGCATACCTGAGGAAGGGTAGGCACCATGCATGCCACCTCCTCCATGTCTGGGTCTGGGGCACTGGGGCACTGGGTTCCCACATTTCAAGGGCCTCTGGAGTAAAAGCAAGCACTGCATGTCTTTGAAGCCAGGATGCAAAGGAGGCGGCCAGATTCCAGGAACCAGAAGTGTCACTGGTCTATCCAGCAATGCCACCTTTGCCTTCTACTTTGTTGTGCTTCTCAAACTGCATCTTGCTGGTCCTAGGGAGGTAGCATTAAGGATGGCAGAGGTGGCTGCTGTGACAGTGATAGAGTCTGTTGAAGAGATACTTCATACTGAGCAAGAGAGAGCAAGGGACTGGGGCACTGGGCTCTCAGGGACAGGAGAGGTGGGGAGAAAGAGGCCCAGCCCGCCACTGGCTAGGAGAAACGTGGAATAGAGGTGGGTGGGGTGGGAACTCTACCATCTCATCCCAGCTCCCCTAGCAGACCCCAGAGCATCTTCCTCATGCCAGAGGCAGAGCTGGAGAGAGACCAAGATTCAGAGACAGGTAAAGTCTGAGACAGGTAAAGAAGGAAATCAGAGCCAGGTGCCCACAGAGATGCTGCCAGCGATGCCCACACATGCTCAACACTTTGACTTCTCTGCAAGCTTGTTTTACAGACACAACACTGAGGCCAAGAGAGGTGAAAAGAAATGTCCCACATTTGATGGCCCAAGCCAAGAGGGTTAGTAGAGGGGAAATGCTGGGCCCCACAATTTCCAAATTCAACTCAGGACCACTCAGGTTGAAAAGGAGGGATTCAGGGGTCATTGAGAAAGACAGGGATGTCCAGGGAGAGAGACGAAAAGAGGCAGAGAGGCATGAGTGGCATAGGGTGGGGTGGGAGGAGAACAGAGCAGAGGGTGCGGGTGCGGTGCCAGAGCCAGAGGTATGGGTGACAACAGCACTGAGGGAAGAAAATAAGAACCATACGCACATACACAAATAGGGTCACATAACAACTGGTGAGCACCAAGGAGCGTAGGGCCACAGTACTGTGCTGGTGTCAGTGATCTCGGGCTACAGTTTACATAAGACATCACCACTAGGGGAAGCTGGTTGAAGGGTTCACAGGACTGTATGTGCAGGAACTTCTTGTGATTCTGTATTACTTCAAAATAAAAAATTTTTTAAAAACCCACTTTATAGAAAAAAAATGAAGTGGGTTTTTTTTTTTCCTAGAAAGACAGCTGACAAAATGAGTTTCTGATTAATGAACAAACTGAATACTAAAATGCAAAGTAAAGAATGATAATGTAAAGCTGGGTGTGGTGGTGCATGCTTGTAGTCCCAGCTACTAGGAAGACTGAGGTTGGCGAATTGCTTGAGCCCAGGAATTTCAGTCCATCCTGGTTAATATAGCAACACCCCAGTCTCTTAGAGAAAAAATAAAAATAAAAAGAAGAATAATAATAAAATGGAAACCGAGAAACCTGACTTCTGATCCTACCTCTGGCTAGTCTCTTTAACTTTTAGGCTTCATTTTCTTGTATGGGAAATAAGAAAATTCTGCCAGAAAATTGAGACCACATCAAGCTCTCCTATTCCATAGGGTGTATAGGTGTCTGTAGACCTTCATTTTGCTAAATATAGAATGAATGCTAATAGTATGTTAAATATAGTACAGAGATTAGGGCTTGTCTAATCTTGCAATAGGCAAGAAGTCTATTTCTGCCCCTTTCTGTGTGTCTGCCTATCTATATTAGACATCTTGGTGATATAATAGGACTTAGTCCTTAAAGGACCTGAAGAGGGTAATAGATACATAGGGTAAGTACCTATATGCATACTAGATTACAAAACTAAAATGTGTGATATGGACAATACCTCCTCTAGACCTTGTGAAAGAGATCACTGTAGACTGCAGTATATCCAAGGAAGAAGTGATGTTCAGACATAGAATACCCTGGTTTTATTGTTAATTGCATCTCATAATATGTTACAAGGACCAGGTTGAATATCTCATAGACACTCTGTTACACTGGCCACAGCCACTCATCCCCCTATATTCTAGGTTTAGATTTGCTCTGTAGTTTGAGCTGTTGCATTAATAAAGGGTAAACTTACCTAGATTTACTTGGTGTTTTTGCTTTTCTCTTTTTTCCTCTCCTGACTCCTCCTTTTCTTCCAACCAAACTCCAGCTGAAAAAAGGAAGGGTGGGCAGACTGTGGACTCTGGCCTCCCGCTTCTAAGTGTGTCTGATCCTTTCATTCCTCTTCAAGTACCTGATGCACCAGGTAGGTAAATAAGAACTGTTTTGAGGCTAAGCAGCTTGGTTTGCATGTCCCAGGCCCTGTGGAAAGTTCTGCCTTAAACACCCCATGAAAAGGATTTGAATTCCAAGCCCTAATAATAGACTGCTATTGTATATTTTTACTGTGTCTCAAAAAGAGGGGTAAACTTGTCTTGGAGGGTACCAGCCCTTAGCAAAGATAAAATCAGTTCAGGTTATACCAAATTGATTTCCATATTATATCAGTGTTCAGTTTTTCACCCTTGCTTGTGTTAATGGTGACGTGAGGGGCCTGTATATTGGAATGATTATGATTATAACAGTGGTGGGGGAGCCTATAAGCGTATCATAAAGTGAACAAAATATGAATAGTGGTGATAGTATGATAATGGGATTGTGGGTGACTTTCGTTTAGTTCTTTAATGTGTTTTTATTTTATAATATAAAAACATAATAATAATTAGGAAATGTGATAATAGGGAATGTGAATCAGGAGACCTGGGTTCCCTTCCAGGCTCTGCCACTACCTGTAAACCGCTGGGCTTGGCTCTTCGTCAGTGAAGTACGTTGGACTGCAGGAGTTTGAATATCTCTTGCAGTCCACCGTACTTCAATTTTAAGTATCAGTCTTAAAATTAGAAAGTGGTTGGTGTGTTCTGATGGAAAGAGCTTTTGGAACAGTCATTGGATGCTTCCCATTTGGAGTTTACGTTGCTAAAGCTTTTCCTTTCTACCTTCCTCCCCTAGTCTTTTTGGTGGGGGTAGTGGTGTGGGGAAGAGAATCCGCCCTTTCTCTTATCTATCAGTCTCTTCGCAAAAGCAGATGGTTCCAGCTCCTTAGAAGCAGCTGACAGTTGTTTTGCTTCTGATCATTTTTCCGTTTTTCCCAGTGTTGTCCCTGCCAACTCTTGACCTTGAACTGATAGAACTGGCTTGGTTTTTTTTTTTTTTTTTTTTTTTTTTTTTTTTTTTTTTTTTTTTTTTCTCTCCC